AAAAAAAAAAAAAAAAAGGAAATGTTGAGGGGGTTAGTCGATATAAAAAAGGTCTTAATTGCAGTAGATGGTATAATTTAGGGGATATTAATGTAATTGAATCAATAAAGAAACAGGCAAGTGGGAAAATAAATCGAATGTTCCATTTAAAGATTCCAAAAAACCTCGCAAATTCCGGGGATTTTCACTTGTACTGATATTCTAATTTAAATTGCAGTGAATGATTGGCTTCTCCCTTTCCACCCTCTTCGAAATATAGGCGTTCAGTCTGCATAGTAATTACATTTGATTCTCTTCCGATCCAGTTGTCCTGCAGGTCTCTCTCTCTCTCTCTCAGTGTGCATTATGAGCTCAGTTTGTAGTAAGCATACATTTATGTATTGACTTGCAGTTTTTGTTTGCTAATTTTTTATGGGTTCTGTGGATTGTTTTGGATAGAAACTATTGGACTAAAATATCCATATGATTGGTAGTGAATTGATTTCTTTGACTACTTGTATTGGCAAATAGAAATTCTGATGATACTGCTTACTTCCATGTGAATGCGATTCATTTGGTTAAAGTCTTAGTTCGATTTTTTCTTCCTGAGAAAGATTGTTTAAAAGTGTATCTTCTTTTTTTGATCAAATTTTAGGCATTTGGAGATGAGAGTTCTTGGGTTGATTCTGTTAGCAATTTTGTGGGTTTTTGTGAGCCTTGAAGGGACAGTATCGCATGGTGATCATCCCTTTTCGGTAATTGCGATACATAGGACAGTATTTGCTATCAATGACCTTGCCTATATTAAAGCCTCTCCGCCGATTCTTGGATTGAAGGTACCGGTCTTTTTGTCTCAAAAATCCAAATTCAGTTTACATTTCATGTGGAAAAGAGATAATTAGTGCTTATAACCTAAGGAAATGTGTTGAGTTTGTAACATCTACATGTTTGTATAAATTAGTGGGTAGTTTATGAGGTTTTAATTTTTTGTTTTAAAATGTTGGCCTATATGTTTTCTCCCAATCAATTTTATTATTTGTTCTTTTTTCATTTAATGTTTGTAACCTAATCTATACTGGGTGTTACTATTTTGGTTCTNTTTTCTCCCAATCAATTTTATTATTTATTCTTTTTTCATTTAATGTTTGTAACCTAATCTATACTGGGTGTCACTATTTTGGTTTTTAAATAGTCATGGTTCTTTGATGAATTTTTTTTTTCAAGTTGTTAAATTTGAAAATGGTTAAGTAAAAGATGAAAATGAAGTATAAGGTTAGGGTCTTTCTATTTAGACGACGTGGTTATGTCAATTGATTATTTTTAGAATATAATAATATTCAATATTCAATATTTTGTCTATTTTGAATATGTAGTATTATTTTTTATTTTTGTTCAAATTTTGTGTCGAATCTTAGGATTTACAATTCGATATGATTCACAGTTCTCAAATTTAAAATTTCGATTCACGAACCGAATCGTAATTTGACAACTATGGTTCATAGTGGTAAAATCTAGGGGTGTTCACCCTACCCTACGGATAGGAAATATGCTCTTCCGTCTTCCTACCTGATACTTTGCGGAAGAGTTTTTTCTTGGCCTATCCTACCCGACTTCCTACCTGATTAATCGGGTAGGAAATNGTTTGACTAATATTTGACACAAACCCGTAATGGCTCAATATGAATCTGACACGACACGACTCGATTGTTACCCTTAATCTTAACTAGCACAAAAAAAAATATTAATTTTTATTTTCTATCCATCTAACCAAATACAAAAGAAAGAAAGTGTATCATTCATATTTTTCATCTTTAAAAAATATAAAATGTATCTCTTCTATTTCTCATTCTCCTTGCGAAACAGAGCATAAGAATCATCACATTAGCTTCCCACTACCCCTATAAAAAATATAAAAATTTCTCAAGGCTATACTATCGGTAACTCTTGCAATCCATAGGCAATTGAGCCAATGTACNTCTCCGCCGATTCTTGGATTGAAGGTACCGGTCTTTTTGTCTCAAAAATCCAAATTCAGTTTACATTTCATGTGGAAAAGAGATAGTTAGTGCTTATAACCTAAGGAAATGTGTTGAGTTTGTAACATCTACATGTTTGTATAAATTAGTGGGTAGTTTATTAGGTTTTAATTTTTTGTTTTAAAATGTTGGCCTATATGTTTTCTCCCAATCAATTTTATTATTTATTCTTTTTTCATTTAATGTTTGTAACCTAATCTATACTGGGTGTCACTATTTTGGTTTTNTAATCAAATGTTTGCGCATGTAATGACTAAATCAGTTAAAAATGATTACACTATCTTCTACATCTCTTATAAAAAAAAATAATTTTTTTTATGATCATACACTATCGGTACATCTTGCAAGCCATGACTCATCCAACGGTGACCACATTATCTAATCAACTAGTCATTCCGTTCTTAAATATCTGTCGTTTAATAAAATCAAAATATAATTACTATTTTTTTTTTCAAATTTACCCATAACTTTTCAATGCATTAGATGAGGTGGAGGCTAAATATCTTTCATATTCCTTTCCTTCTCNAAGTTGTTAAATTTGAAAATGGTTAAGTAAAAGATGAAAATGAAGTATAAGGTTAGAGTCTTTCTATTTAAACGACGTGGTTATGTCAATTGATTATTTTTAGAATATAATAATATNTCAATGCATTAGATGAGGTGGAGGCTAAATATCTTTCATATTCCTTTCCTTCTCAATACGTATTGAATAAGAGTATTTTAGTCTTGTGTAATTTTTTTTTACTCATATTACAGTTATTTAATGACTTCCTTAATTCCTGTGGAAAAACTTTAAACGATAGATATTTAGGAACGAAAAAAGTAATGATAAAAAAAAAAAAAAAAGGAAATGTTGAGGGGGTTAGTCGATATAAAAAAGGTCTTAATTGCAGTAGATGGTATAATTTAGGGGATATTAATGTAATTAAATCAATAAAGAAACAGGCAAGTGGGAAAATAAATCGAATGTTCCATTTAAAGATTCCAAAAAACCTCACAAATTCCGGGGATTTTCACTTGTACTGATANACGACGTGGTTATGTCAATTGATTATTTTTAGAATATAATAATATTCAATATTCAATATTTTGTCTATTTTGAATATGTAGTATTATTTTTTATTTTTGTTCAAATTTTGTGTCGAATCTTAGGATTTACAATTCGATATGATTCACAGTTCTCAAATTTAAAATTTCGATTCACGAACCGAATCGTGATTTGACAACTATGGTTCACAGTGGTAAAATCTAGGGGTGTTCACCTTACCCTACGGATAGGAAATATGCTCTTCCGTCTTCCTGCCTGATACTTTGCGGAATAGTTTTTTCTTGGCCTATCCTACCCGACTTCCTACCTGATTAATCGGGTAAACATTTTTGTAACAATTAATTTTTGGATCATTTTAACAATTTAATTAAATAACATGCACTAATTTAACAACACAATAAATCAATTAACATTAAAATCTAAAACAACTACTACAAGAATTATAATNTCTCTCTCTCTCTCTCTCAGTGTGCATTATGAGCTCAGTTTGTAGTAAGCATACATTTATGTATTGACTTGCAGTTTTTGTTTGCTAATTTTTTATGGGTTCTGTGGATTGTTTTGGATAGAAACTATTGGACTAAAATATCCATATGATTGGTAGTGAATTGATTTCTTTGACTACTTGTATTGGCAAATAGAAATTCTGATGGTACTGCTTACTTCCATGTGAATGCGATTCATTTGGTTAAAGTCTTCGTTCGATTTTTTCTTCCTGAGAAAGATTGTTTAAAAGTGTATCTTCTTTTTTTGATCAAATTTTAGGCATTTGGAGATGAGAGTTCTTGGGTTGATTCTGTTAGCAATTTTGTGGGTTTTTGTGAGCCTTGAAGGGACAGTATCGCATGGTGATCATCCCNATTTGTGGATTTTAAGAAACTACTTATAGTTCTAGGTGCTGCTTGATGTATTATAATGGTCTGGATCCGGACTTATTTTCAGTCTGAAAACCTCTGGGAAAATGTTTGAGTTGGATTGGATGTACTTTGAATTCTTAGTTTCTCCCTTTCAAGTTGCATGAAGAGAATATTTCTAATTGAATCTGATAGTAATTCCACGATATAGGATCCAATTGTTTCGTCAATCTGATTATTTCCTAGTATTAAAACAAGGGTTTGACTGAAAAAATGATAACAGAAAGCTGGGTTTAGGATGCAATTCCCTTGGTCCCTGGAAGTGCCACAGATTTATGCTTGCCCCGAGTTATCAATAGAGAATTTTTGCTATTCTTTCATTTAGATCCTTTCGTTTCTGTTCCTTTTCTTTCTCTCAAATAATTAAGATTTTTTTATTCTTTTTATTAAAAGCGTTGATATGACAACTATGTTCCCTTTTGCAATCCAGCCATGACCAACCTTTGCTTTGTTTCTTTGTAAAACAGCCAAAGCTTGTAGCAGTGTGAAATACAATTTGCTTTTATCAAATATGTTCCTTATTTTTAATTCTACCATGATTGACGTTTGCTGCAATATGATTTGTTTCTTCATAAAACAGCCAAAGCTAGTAGCGGTGTCAAATCCAATTGCTTTTGCAAATCCAAATGCACCAGTTTACCCACGCTTAGCACAAGGGAAAATTTGGAACGAAGTAAGCTTACTTTCTCTCATTTTGGTTTTTGTAATGGCATAGCATATGATGAAGTTAAGGAGAATCTGTGCCATGGAAGCTCCTACTTGTGCGCCCTATGATGATATTTATTTGTATGNGATCCGGACTTATTTTCAGTCTGAAAACCTCTGGGAAAATGTTTGAGTTGGATTGGATGTACTTTGAATTCTTAGTTTCTCCCTTTCAAGTTGCATGAAGAGAATATTTCTAATTGAATCTGATAGTAATTCCACGATATAGGATCCAATTGTTTCGTCAATCTGATTATTTCCTAGTATTAAAACAAGGGTTTGACTGAAAAAATGATAACAGAAAGCTGGGTTTAGGATGCAATTCCCTTGGTCCCTGGAAGTGCCACAGATTTATGCTTGCCCCGAGTTATCAATAGAGAATTTTTGCTATTCTTTCATTTAGATCCTTTCGTTTCTGTTCCTTTTCTTTCTCTCAAATAATTAAGATTTTTTTATTCTTTTTATTAAAAGCGTTGATATGACAACTATGTTCCCTTTTGCAATCCAGCCATGACCAACCTTTGCTTTGTTTCTTTGTAAAACAGCCAAAGCTTGTAGCAGTGTGAAATACAATTTGCTTTTATCAAATATGTTCCTTATTTTTAATTCTACCATGATTGACGTTTGCTGCAATATGATTTGTTTCTTCATAAAACAGCCAAAGCTAGTAGCGGTGTCAAATCCAATTGCTTTTGCAAATCCAAATGCACCAGTTTACCCACGCTTAGCACAAGGGAAAATTTGGAACGAAGTAAGCTTACTTTCTCTCATTTTGGTTTTTGTAATGGCATAGCATATGATGAAGTTAAGGAGAATCTGTGCCATGGAAGCTCCTACTTGTGCGCCCTATGATGATATTTATTTGTATGCAAGATTGTCTCTGGCAGTACACAACAAAGACTAATATAAATTATCTTACTATCCTTTATTCTAGTTGTGGGTTTAACAAATTTTGAGGAGATATTACATGGATACTCAGATGACTGTAACATGGACGAGTGGATATGGAATCAATGAAGCAGAACCTTTTGTTGAATGGAGTCCACAAGGAGGAAGACAGAGGCTTTCCCCGGCTGGGACACTGACTTTTGACCGGAATAGCATGTGTGGTGCGTAAGATGTGTTTATTGATGAGCTCTGGTTATATTTATATGGTTGGGTATTGGCTAGGTTTGTACGACAGTTATCAACCTTTTCTCAATGATGGGTGCCCCTGAATCTTTCAGTAAATGGATATTGTATTGATAACTTTGATTCCCAAATATTCAAATTTTGGTTAATTTTTTCCAGTGTATTATGTGTAAAACATCATAAAAATGATATAAATTGACTTGTATATCTATTAATTAGTACACTGTTCTTGAAGCGACCAAATTTCACAGTGGCCTTGTCACCCTTTTGGCCACTAAACGAAGGAATTAATTAGGACATAAAAGGTTATTTTATCTACTTGATGCTGCCAGATGAGTTAATAATGCTTGTTGAAGGTACACAATTGCAAAAATGGTTCAAGTAGGTGGAATGTTGATGCTGTTGTCCCTATATGGACATGACCAATAGTAGTAATGACATGCAGAGAAGGAAACAATTTTTTTTCACATATCTCTTATCTTTATAGCACTTGCATGTCCTCAAATAGGGATTAACACAAAACAAGTGGTATTTGGAATACCAAATTTTGAAGAGTAATGCTATTTGGACTTAAAAATCTGACCTAATTTGTTAACATAATGATGTGGCTTAATAGGAATCTTTGGATCAACACCAAGTTCCAATGTTTGATGGGGTCTACAGTCAATCTAAAGGTCACAGTNTCATTCGCTTGAAAAACACCATCAAGGGGTATTGAATTTCTAGATGTTTCTTGCAATAATCTATCCGGCCAAGTTCCAAGTATCTAGGGGACTTCGATTTGCAGTATTTCAATTTTTCTTACAATGATTTCAAGGGCTCGTTGCCAACAAACAGCATCTTTAAAAATGCTAGTGCAATGTCTTTGATTGGAAACCCTAAGCTTTGTGGGGGTACTCCCAAATTACAGCTTCCTAGATGCAACTTTAAACAATCTAAGAAGATTAGCTCCACTTTGACCTTTAAATTGGTAATCTCTTTGGTTTATGTGATTTTGGGTTTAAGTTTGTTGTTGGGTTTTCTTTTCCTTTATTGGTATAAAAAGGGCAAGACGGTGCTTTCTTCATATACCTAAAGACAAACCAATTCAAAAGTGTCTTATCAAAGTCTCCTCCAAGCTACAGATGGGTTCTCTTCAACTAATTTGATTGGTATGGGTGGCTTTGGGTCTGTTTATAAAGGAATTCTTGATGATGGAACAATTATTGTTGTGAAGGTTCTTAACCTTTCGCATCGTGGAGCAACCAAGAGTTTCAAAGCCAAGTGTGATGCCTTGAGGAATATAAGATATCAGAATCTTGTCAAGGTGTTAACTGCTTGTGTAGGTGTGGATCATCAGGGAAATGATTTCAAGGCTTTGGTATACAAGTTCATGGCTAATGGCAGCCTGGAGTAGTGGCTGCATCCAAATCCAATTGAAAATCGAGCTGATATGGTGTTGAAGAAACTTAACCTTCTTGAAAGATTAAACATTGCTATTAATGTTGCAAGTGCACTGGAGTATCTTCACCGTTATTGCCAGACACCTTTAGTTCACTGCGATCTTAAGCCAAGTAACGTTCTTCTGGATAGTGAATTGGTTGCTTTTGTATCTGACTTTGGATTGGCAAGATTCCTTCCAATAGCCACCCAAAAATCATCTACAAATCAAACAAGCTCTATTCTCGTAAGAGGACCAATTGGGTACCCTGCCCCAGGTAAGTACATTTCAATATTAAATTCTTGTTCTTTTGCTTTCTCATCTTCATATTCTTAGTTTTTACAATAACTTGTATCATTTTATATTAAGCTATCACTTGTGTCGTATCATTATTTGTTAAGTTGCGATATTTGGCCACATTGACATGTTTTTTCCCGACAAGTCATTATTAAAGTTTATGCGGAAGAATTACTTTTCAATTGTGCTTCGTACCAATGCCTTTGAATTATAGTTTGATTGTATGACATGCATTCCAGAGTACGGGATGGGAAGTGCATTGTCGACTTATGGTGATGTGTACAGCTTTGGCATGCTCTTGTCGGAAATGTTCACAAGGAAAAGGCCTATAGATGACATATTTACCGATGGTTTTAATNGTCATAGGAGTGTCATTGAGGAGTTTGCTTTCGGTTGTAAGCTTTCCCTTTTATCTTAACACGACATGTGCTTCATATTGATTATGCAGGTATACCTACAAACTAGGCCACAGGTTGTTCAATGGTACATATATTTGGAGTCAGATATACAAATTTAGGGCATCTCCTTATCCTGGTCAAAACTCTGTACAACGGGTAGTTATTTTTGGCGATATGGGAAAGGTTTGCACTCTTCTGCTAGATATCAAGCAAACCACTATTTCTCCAACCCCAGCTCATGATAGTTATGATCTATTATCTGTCTGATTTGAGATATATCTTTTTGAGCAATTTCTCCAACATATAATTTGTTCCTTGGAAATTCAACACAACTATGTAATTTTGTTATGATGTTAAGATAGTATTTGTTCTCCCCCAATCCTTTGATTTTTCTATCACGTACTTCATCTCCCAATTATGTTCTCACTTTGGAATACGTACCTGTTATTTTCCTCCACCAAATTTGGTTTTCGTGGACTTTCTTGAGTAGTTGAGTAATTACTTGTATATGTAGACTTTCTTGAGTAGTTGAGTAATTACTTATATATGCATGTGATCTCATGTCCGTGTTTATCGTGTTCTAATTTGGAGATAACGAAGCTTAACACCACATAGCTACTCGGCATCTACTTCTGAAGTCTGTTTCTCTTGTCCATGTTTCATGGTGCAGGATGAGGCTGATGGATCCAATGAATATAATAATTTCCAGCCTGGCTCCCTTAACACTACCAGACAACTTATTCAAGACTTGAAGAACATTGATATAGTCTTTCACATAGGAGATATATGTTATGCCAATGGATATGTTTCACAGTGGGACCAATTTACTTCTCAGATTGAACCGATTGCCTCAACTGTACCTTATATGATTGCAAGGTATGTTGCATGTTTTTTGCAAACTTGTTACACCGCTTCTATTATGTCTTGTGTGGCAATTGATGACTTAAATTTGCAGTGGTAACCATGAGCGTGATTGGCCCGGAACAGGATCGTTCTATGGGAACATGGATTCAGGAGGAGAATGTGGTGTGTTGGCTGAGACTATGTTTTACGTCCCTACAGAGAATAGAGCAAAGTTCTGGTATGGGAGTATATCTTGATAAAACCTGTTAAATATATTCTGATCCATCATGCTCATTAATGCATATATGAACTTGCTACATTGTTTGGAAACAGATTATTGAGGTTTTGAACCTTTTATCTCTGCATCTTGATATCGTTCCTTGGACATCTGCAACCGAAATATACTCAAACTTCTCATCTAGTGACTAGCAATATGATTTTAATGCGATTGTGTAAAACCAAATTTCTCATGCACTAGGTGAGTCTCATTGGTATATGAGAAATTAACTCCAGCATTGTTGTTCATGTGAACTCTTCCTATTAACTGCAGGATGACAGCACCCTCTCGTTCCTCCATTGAAAACTCTTCTTCTGAATATGATTGTTGAAATTGTTTCAATTATTGGGTTATATTGTTATCACCACTGGTTTCCTTGCTTTTTGACCAAGGAGTATTAGTTACTAACAGCATTCTGCATAGATATTTGATTTCCCCCCAAAAAAGGATGCCTGATAGAAAAAGAGAAGGGGGTGGGGGGGGGAGGGGTGCTACTGTTTGGATCAATGTGTGTCTTTGTGTTTCACCTGTTTCGTGGTATATGTGTGATTGGTCTTTACTGTTGTTTTCTTCTTCTGCCAGGTACTCTACTGACTATGGCATGTTCCGCTTCTGCATAGCTGATACAGAACAAGATTGGAGACAGGGAACAGAGCAATATAAGTTCATTGAGCACTGCCTGGCATCTGTCGATAGACAGAAGCAACCATGGCTGATCTTCCTTGCACACAGGGTATTGGGTTATTCCTCTGATGCTTCCTATGCTATGGAAGGATCATTTGCAGAACCAATGGGGAGGGAGAGCCTTCAAAAACTATGGCAGAAGTACAAGGTTGATATAGCCATGTTCGGACATGTACACAATTATGAAAGGACATGCCCAATTTACCAGGTATCCTTGTAACTTTGTCTGTCTTAGGTGCATTTTACGTTGCTTCAAAGAGAATTTACACCTATACTCCGTTGTGTGCCAGTCAATGAAATCAAGTATGCATTGAACCAGGAACGCAGTTTAGATAGATCAATAATATCTGTTTGACTGTTGTCCTTTGTCTTCCTACAGAACATTTGCACAAATGAAGAGAAGCAATATTATAAGGGTTCGTTGAATGGGACAATACATGTGGCTGCTGGGGGTGCGGGGGCAAGCCTTTCACCATTTTCTTCCATGCAACCCAATTGGAGTATATTCAGGGATTATGACCATGGATTCACAAAGCTAACTGCATTTGATCATTCAAACCTGTTGTTTGAGTACAAGAAAAGCAGTGATGGGAAAGTTTACGATTCCTTCAGAATATCCCGGGATTATAGAGACATCTTGGCCTGCACTGTGGATAGCTGCCCAAGTATGACTCTGGCATCTTGAGTTGGATATAAGGGAAAACTTGTCTTTGTGAATTTTATCCATATATCAATCAGCTCAATCCCCATCCTTACCCCCCAAAACTGTAGTGTGGAGAAAGTTTTAAGTCATTTCTTTGTCTAGTTTGTTTCTCTGAATAGAAAGCAGGTCCTCTCATGTATGTTCCTAGCAGTACGCGAAAAAATATTGGCTTTTGGCAACTGGGTACAATCTTATTATCATAGTGTTCCCTTTCATGTCTTCTTTTTAGCACTACTACTCATTTAAGAGAGAATAAAACCCCCTAAACAGAGGGACGAGGGTTGACCTTTCTTTCTTAGCAAATTTCACCCAACTCAATCAAAGAAAAAATTCAACAGCAAAAAAGTTTAGAAATGATTTGATGTTTTTATTGAAGAATGTCTCTTTTCAATTGGGAGAGAGACATGAAAACGACCCCCCCCCCCCCNTACCACGGCTTAAGGTGGAAGTGAGAAAGATCATTTTCAAATATTGGAACAGTTGCAGCTTTTAAAGATTGGTAAGGATAAACTATATGAATTTGGGAGAATGTTGATTAATTGTTTTTTGAAGGCTTTAGGACTGTACTGATGAATTTATTTTTTTTCCTATGATTTTGTTCCAGGATTTCTGCTCTTCTGGACTATGCTCTTCCTTTAAAGCAGATGGTATCTCATTTCTTGGTTAAACAAGGTGCAAATGAGAGAGTTCATGAAACTGCATCTGGGTGAAAGCCGTAATCTTTTTATTCTTGGAGATGTTGGAAGAAATTAATCTCAAATCTCTTTCATTTTCGGTTGAGCAGTTCCGAAACAGTCGTTTGATGACACAATTTGTGAGAGCTCATCACACATTGATGATAATATGTCAGAGGCAGCTGTAATATTTGATTATGTGTGTAGTTAACCCTAACCTACATTATCTTGATTGGTTGGCAATTCAACTCTGCTTATTTAGCCAGTTACACACACACACACAGGCATGAAAATGTTGGTTCTCAATTTACTAACATGTAACAACCAGAAGGTGGTGACGTGGTGGGATAAAGGTGGTAGCTTAGGATTGTGGAGTATTACGTAAAGGAGAATTGATATTTCTGCAAAGAGAGTAACACAAGAGATTTGAAAGTCTATTATTTTTCCACACCTTGCAATATGGGAAAAGTCCCATTATATACACTTTATTGTTGTATATATTTAACTACTAAAGTTCCATAATCATTAATAAACATCAATTCTATAAATCTATACATATCTATATAATGTATACTATCTTGACTAGCTTGCAAAGTGTGTGGGCCTCAATGTCATGTTTGTCTCCAGATTGGATACCTTCATTAATGTCATCTTTTCAATATTTGTATTCACATGTACCTATTGATTGAGGTTTTCCAAATATAATAAAATCATTTATTGAAATTTCTGATTTAAAACATGTAATATATAACAAAACAATAACAATCAAGTGCAAAACAGTTACACAGAAAATTGAAACAGTTACAGAAGAATTAATGAAACAGTTACAGCAATCTTATTGAAATAATTACATGTAATTGTTTATTTAAACAATATAAATACTACTCCGGTTGCAGAACAAAAACTATTATTGAACTTTAGGTAGATCAAGGCTACTGTTTGATATTACGTCCTTAAGACAGATTTCACCTCCACACACGGTACTTATGGAATATCAAGCGTCTGTCTCCCAAGATACAATGATCTTCACACGAGTAGAAGTACCACTCCAATCTACTCGTCCAGTGAATTAGAAATTGTGTTGTGTACTCTCCAAATGAGACTGTCTTAATGATGTATGAGACTGTCTTAAATGACTAAGAATGTATTTGATGCAAAATGATTATGTGACTGAGTTATTTATAGAGAGAATGGTGACTAATCCAGACAGTCACCATCTGAACGGATGCAACCCAGTAGTCACATGTAGCCAGAAGACACCACTTGTGTATATGTTCTNTGGACTATGCTCTTCCTTTAAAGCAGATGGTATCTCATTTCTTGGTTAAACAAGGTCCAAATGAGAGAGTTCATGAAACTGCATCTGGGTGAAAGCCGTAATGTTTTTATTCTTGGAGATGTTGGAAGAAATTAATCTCAAATTTCTTTCATTTTCGGTTGAGCAGTTCCNACAGATACCGAAATTAAATATTGGATTAAAAAATTCACACCCAATTAATTAAACGAATTTTTTCCAAAAAAGATAGAGTTTTGTCTAAACCACACTTGAGCTCGAGCCCATGTAGACGCTCGTTCCGCTCATGAAATTGTGATACCCCTTAGAGCCCAATCCCATAGAACAAATTTGGCTTATATATGCTNTGATTATGTGTGTAGTTAACCCTAACCTACATTATCTTGATTGGTTGGTAATTCAACTCTGCTTATTTAGCCAGTTACACACACACACACAGGCATGAAAATGTTGGTTCTCAATTTACTAACATGTAACAACCAGAAGGCGGTGACATGGTGGGATAAAGGTGGTAGCTTAGGATTGTGGAGTATTACGTAAAGGAGAATTGATATTTCTGCAAAGAGAGTAAAANCACTTTGGAGCCTATTTTCTCATTCATTTCTTACTTGATTTGAGCAAGTGAATATGTTACATTATTCTCCTCACGGAGTAGAATATGAACTCACAAAAGTTTATTCGAAACAACAAACGGGTTCCACTTTAATTTAGGCTCAAAGTCGACCAAAAATTCAGTTTTTACACTTAAGTAACTGTTTTGCGAAACTATTTTTGGTCCAACAATCCCCCACATGAATGGAAAATTAGATGTTAGTATGCAAATGATAATGCTGACACACTATAAAGAGTACATCTTTGAAAAAATCGTATATCGAAATAGGTAGTTTTTGGCCTTGAACATNTAATAAAATCATTTATTGAAATTTCTGATTTAAAACATGTAATATATAACAAAACAGTAATAATCAAGTCCGAAACAGTTACACAGAAAATTGAAACAGTTACAGAAGAATTAACGAAACAGTTACAGCAATCTTATTGAAATAATTACATGTAATTGTTTGTTTAAACAATATAAATACTACTCCGGTTGCAGAACAGAAACTATTATTGAACTTTAGGTAGATCAAGGCTAGTGTTTGATATTACGTCCTTAAGACAGATTTCACCTCCACACACGGTACTTATGGAATATCAAGTGTCTGTCTCCCAAGATACAATGATCTTCACACAAGTAGAAGTATCACTTCAATCTACTCGTCCAGTGAATTAGAAATTGTGTTGTGTACTCTCCAAATGAGACTGTTTNTATAAAAATCATTAAAAGCATAGGTTACCATAATCCACTTTGCCGGCAACACTAGTTTATCATAGGAATAGGTAAAAAAGATTATCTCATAAGTGCTTCTTTTGAATCACGCATAATTCAGTTGTCCATTTGAACGTAGATCTTGGGATCTCTAGTTAATTAGGTTGGGNCTAAGAATGTATTTGATGCAAAATGATTATGTGACTGAGTTATTTATAGAGAGAATAGTAACTAATCCAGACAGTCACCATCTGAACGGATGCAACCCAGTAGTCACATGCAGCCAGAAGACACCACTTGTGTATATGTTATGTATGAACAAACACAACTCAAATTTTGGATTGGAGAGAAGCAAAAAATCTGAACCAGTGTGATCCAACAGATACCGAAATTAAATATTGGATTAAAAAATTCACACCCAATTAATTAAACGATTTTTTTCCAAAAAAGATAGAGTTTTGTCTAAACCACACTTGAGCTCGAGCCCATGTAGACGCTCGTTCTGCTCATGAAATTGTGATACCCCTTAGAGCCCAATCCCATAGAGCAAATTTGGCTTATATATGTTNATACAACTGCACCACCAAGTGTAAAAACATAACCACTTGTGAATTTTGTATCCTTCGTATCAAATATCCAATTTGCATCACTATACCCTCCAAGTACAACTGGATATCTTGTATAGTGCAATCCAAAATTCAGAGTATATCTTAGGTATCTAAGAACATTTATAATTGTCTTTCAATGGTCTACTCCCGGATGACTCATATATCTACTCAATTTCCTAACTGAGTATGCTATATCTGGTTCAGTGCAGTTCATGACATACATTAGACTGTCAATGATACAAGAGTATTTCAATTGTGATATGATTTAGCCAGTATTTTTAGACAAATAAAAATTTATATCAGCTGGTATTTTAGCNCACTTTGGAGCCTATTTTCTCATTCATTTCTTACTTGATTTGAGCAAGTGAATATGCTACATTATTCTCCTTACGGAGTAGAATATGAACTCACAAAAGTTTATTCGAAACAACAAACGGGTTCCACTTTAATTTAGGCTCAAAGTCAACCAAAAATTCAGTTTTTACACTTAAGTAACTGTTTTGCGAAACTATTTTTGGTCCAACAATCCCCCACATGAATGGAAAATTAGCTGTTAGTATGCAAATGATAATGTTGACACACTATAGAGAGTACAACTTTGAAAAAATCGTGTATCGAAATAGGTAGTTTTTGGCCTTGAACCTNGCAATATTGTTTTCATCTTTGTCGAACTTCTCAAGTATTTTCTCAATATAATGTGAATGAAATAATATAAGTCCACCAGATGTTCTAAAAATTTTAATTATAGTATAACATCTGTAACACCCAAATCCTTCATGTCAAACTTACTGGACAACATTTTCTTGGTAGCTATAATAATATTATTATTACTACCTAAAATAAGTGTATCATCCATATATAGGCAAACAATGACATATCCAGTATTTGTGTCTTTATCACATTCATTAATTGTGANCATGAGTGCTTTAGAAAATTCAATCTTTATAAATTCTCACAGAAGCGGCTCCTTCACACCCATATAGGTGACTCCTATTAGGAATATCCTGCAGTATCCCACTTATATTTTTCAAGGTATAAAAATCATTAAAAGCATAGGTTACCATAATCCACTTTGCCGGCAACACTAGTTTATCATAGGAATAGGTAAAAACGATTATCTCATAAGTGCTTCTTTTGAATCACGCATAATTCAGTTGTCCATTTGAACGTAGATCTTGGGATCTCTAGTTAACTAGGTTGAGNAGGAAAACTGTTTTCACATCTATTTGGTGTATCTCAAGATTTGCAATAACTATGAGTATACGAATATATGTTATTCTCGTGACTGGATAATATGTATCACAGTAATCAAGACCTTCCTTTTGTTTGTAACCTNATTTGCAATAACTATGAGCATACGAATATATGTTATTCTCGTGACTGGATAATATGTATCAAAGTAATCAAGACCTTTCTTTTGTTTGTAACATTTGACTACAAGTCTAACCTTGTGCTTATCAATTGATCCATCAATTTTTATTTCCTCTTGAAAATCCATTTACACCCCAATTGTTTACTCCCTAGAGGAAGATCTACCAACTTCCAGGTGTGATTTTACATGATAGATTCAATTTCATTGTTTACAACTTCTTTCCACATAGCTGCTTCAGGAATGGACATCACTTTATTAAAGTTTTGAAGCTCATTTTCTAACAAATATGTTAAAAAATTAGAATCATAGGACTTGAAAGTCCTTACCCTCTTACTGCGTCTAAGTGCCTATTCACTTTCTTCATTTATAGACTCATGGTCTATATTATTAGTCGCAGTATCATAAGTTCTTTTAAGGGAACTCTCATCACATGTATTTTTACTAGGAAATACGTTTTTAAATAATGATGCATTTATTGACTCAATGATTGTATTTANTGACATGTCAAAGGTCCCATATGCTAGTGCAGTGGGGTGTTTAATGTATGCTATGGTTTGTACAAGACCAGATTTGACACAAGCTGTCAGCGTGGTTAGCAAGTTTCTTTCAAATTCGGGTCGACAGCATTGGGATGCAGTCAAATGGATTTTCAAATACTTAAGGGGCACTACAGACTATGGCATCAGGTTTAGCAGACAACAAAGTGACCCTTCAGTTATGGGATATGTGGATGCAGACTATGCAGGAGACTTGGATGACAGGAGGTCTACCACAGGTTATGTGTTTACTCTTGTGGGAGGACCTATTTGTTGGAAGTCCATGGTACAGCCTATAGTTGCACTATCTACTACTGAGTCAGAGTATATGGCAGTAGCTGAGGCTGCCAAAGAGCCTTTGTGGCTTACAAGTTTAGTCAAGGAGCTGGGTGCCCAGCAAGGTGGAGTTCAATTGCATTGTGACAGTCAGAGTGCCGTTTATTTGGCAAAGAACTAGGTGTATCATGCGAGGACCAAACATATAGATGTGAGGTTTCATAAGATCAGGGAACTGGTTTCTTCTGGTGAACTACTACTTGGGAAAGTTCACACTTTCTGAGAATGCAGCAGACATGTTGACAAAGCCTGTTACTACAGACAAGTTCAAGCACTGCTTGGACTTGATTAATGTTTCTAGTTGCTAGATGGGAGATGCCTCAACTCAGCGTCCCCGGTGGAGTTCCCGAATACATGTCCTCTTTTTTCTCCTAAGGGGTGAATATTTGCCAAGGTGGAGATTGTTAGAGTATGTGTGACTCATATATTGCTGTGTGCATAATGGCAAGGAGGTAGATGCCGGAGCGAGCGGAGTGGAGCCCACCACGGCATTTGCCTTGCGGGATTTGTATAAAGGGGATGCTGATTAGTTGGGGGTGCGGGGGCAACGCCCCCGCGGTACTGTACAGGGGTATTTTTATAAATACGTCTGTATTAGGGTTATATAAATACTTCAGATGTAACCTTNATTTCGATACCACGTGTCTTAAGAATTTCACCTCAGATAACCAAAACTCACACTTGTTTGCTTTGGCATATAACTGGTGATCTCTCAATGTCTGAAGTACAATCCTTAAGTGTCGTTCATGGTCTGATTCGGTCCGTGAGTACACAAGAATATCATCCACAAATACCACAACAAACTGATCTAAGTATAGACTGAAAATCCTATGCATCAAGTCCATGAATGTTGCTGGANAGAATTTCACCTCAGATAACCAAAACTCACACTTGTTTGCTTTGGCATATAACTGGTGATCTCTCAATATCTGAAGTACAATCCTTAAGTGTCGTTCATGGTCTGATTCGGTCCGTGAGTACACAAGAATATCATCCACAAATGCCACAACAAACTGATCTAAGTATAGACTGAAAATCCTATGCATCAAGTCCATGAATGTTGCTATAGCATTCGTTAACCCAAATGACATCACTACAAACTCATAATGCCCATATCGGGTTCTGAAGGCAGTCTTGGGTATGTCTTCATCTTTTATCCTCAATTGGTGATACCTGGTCCGAAGATCAATATTCAAAAAATAACGAGATCCTCTCAGCTGGTCGAATAAGTCATCTATTCTGGGCAAAGGGTACTTGTTCTTGATAGTCACTCGATTCAACTGCCTGTAGACAATACACAACCTCAAGCTTCCATCCTTTTTCTTGGCAAATAGTGTTGGAGCTCCCCATAGGGAGGTACTCGGCCGTATAAATCCTTTATCTAATAGATCCTGGAATTACAACTTCAATTCATGAAGTTCAGCTGGTGCCATCCTATAAGATGTCATAGTAACTGGNAAAATAACGAGATCCTCTCAGCTGGTCGAATAAGTCATCTATTCTGGGCAAAGGGTACTTGTTCTTGATAGTCACTCGATTCAACTGCCTGTAGACAATACACAACCTCAAGCTTCCATCCTTTTTCTTGGCAAATAGTGCTGGAGCTCCCCACAGGGAGGTACTCGGCCGTATAAATCCTTTATCTAATAGATCCTGGAGTTACAACTTCAATTCATGAAGTTCAACAGGTGCCATCCTATAAGATGTCATAGTAACTAGTGCAATGCCTAGTTGCAATTCAATTGAAAATTCAACATCCCTTTGAGGAGGTAGTCTAGGTAGCTCATCTAGAAAAATGTCAGAGTACTCGCACACAACTCGAGGAAGATCCAATTCCTTTCTATCGTCATCATTGATTACCAAACTAGCTAACCAACCCATCAATTGGTTACACCAGTGCGAATCTTGCAGAGGTAGAGGCAATTTTGCATGTCTATTCCCATGAAATTGAAAACAAACACCCTCTGTGGTATAAGCTGTCACTTTTTTTTATGACAATCAATAGTGACACGATGAGCCGATAACCAATCCATTCCTAGAATGATGTCAAACTCTACCATTTCCATGACCCATAGGTCCACTGTTAGTCGAAGACCCGAGATCTCCATCTCATAAGACCGGCAAATACGATCTACTCGAATTCTACCACCCAAGGGCGAGTCAATGCATAGTGATGTCTCTAAGTGCTCTGACTCTAAGCCCAATACAGATGCACATGTCATAGATATAAATGAGTGAGATGCACCCGAATCAAACAACACACTAATCCAAGAACTATATAACATAACATTACCTTGGATTACTGAATGATCAACGAACTCCTCTTGTTGAGTCAACGCAAAGACCCTGTGTATGTTGACTATGTCCATCGCATCCCTTGCAGTGATTTTGCCTCATAGGTTGCTAGGATCCAAACGGGGCAGTAGAGGCATATAATGTATGTCCCATCTTCGGGCCAATTTGTGCATGCTTCTGGGGTTGAGTCTGTTGTGGATAAGATGGCTGGATATTTTGTTATGGTCTAGCAACATTCTGAAAGGGTCCTCGTTGTGGACAATCTCGCCTGTAATGTCTCACCTGTCCGTACTCATAACATACTCCTTGCCCTTGAACAAACTTCTCNGCTTTCAATCAGGGCATGAGTGACCCCGTACCTCGACGAATGCTACGATTGACCAAGACTTGTTTCGAGTCTTTCAACCAAGGGAGGAGCGATCCCTGCTTGCTTGTCCCAATTTCATTTCAAGAATTATCATTTTATGTGTCTCAAAGTCGATTGGGCACACTAACCAGAATAATCACAAATGATGTATTTACCATCATGATAATAACCAAAATGCAAATAATATAGTCATGAATATGCATTTNTCCTTCTTTTGGTGCTTCTGTTGAAATGATTGATGACTCTGTGCCTGACCACCCTGAGATCGCGGTGTTGAAGTTCTTTGTCTCTTACCGAAGCCACCTCGGGAACATGAATCTCTAGATCGTGAACTAGACTCTCTAATTTGCCTGGTGTCGTCCAACTCCCTTTCAGCAACTAGTGCTACCTCAACCACTTTGCCATATGTTGGGAGGCATAAGACCATTACACAACGTCTAATGGCAGGCTTGAGCCCTCATTCAAATCTCCTAGCTCTACTATCCTCATTTGGCACTATTGTGCTAGCATGTCTAGCTAGTTCAGCAAATCGAGCCCCATATTGCATTATAGTGAGATCTCCCTGACGCAATCCTAAGAATTCTTGCACCTTCACTCCCTTAATCACTTTGGGAAAATAATTATCCATAAACACGTCATGAAACTCTTTCCACATCATCTTCTTAACATCCTTGGTTTCCTTAATCATATTCCACTAGTGATCTGCCTCACCCTCGAATTGGAAGGCAGCTAAAGTAACTTTGGTTGCATTAGGTCTAATCCCCATGGCATCAAAGATCTTCTCTATCTGTCTAATCCAGTGCTCTGCCACTGTCAGATCAAGCTCACCATTGAACACTGGAGGGTTTTGCCTCCGGAACTCCTTTAGTGTTGTCATGGAGTTCATCCCACTACCCTCACTCTGAGACATAACTCTAGCAATTTCTTGCATGGTCTGCATCAGGTCAGCATCATCAGTGCCATGTGAAGAGGAGGCTGTTGCACCGCCACTAGTCTTATTTCTCTTCATGGTCTAATCAAAAGCCAGACAGACCGAAAAACTTAGCATTAGAATAATAATAATAATCATAGCCAGTCTCTAATTACATCTAGAATACGCGTATTCAATATGCCTAAGATTTCCCCCAAGGTTTCTTGTAAATCGTATACCTAAACTCTGATACCAAGCTNGCATTATAGTGAGATCTCCCTGACGCAATCCTAAGAATTCTTGCACCTTCACTCCCTTAATCACTTTGGGAAAATAATTATCCATAAACACGTCATGAAACTCTTTCCACATCATCTTCTTAACATCCTTGGTTTCCTTAATCATATTCCACTAGTGATCTGCCTCACCCTCGAATTGGAAGGCAGCTAAAGTAACTTTGGTTGCATTAGGTCTAATCCCCATGGCATCAAAGATCTTCTCTATCTGTCTAATCCAGTGCTCTGCCACTGTCAGATCAAGCTCACCATTGAACACTGGAGGGTTTTGCCTCCGGAACTCCTTTAGTGTTGTCATGGAGTTCATCCCACTACCCTCACTCTGAGACATAACTCTAGCAATTTCTCGCATGGTCTGCATCAGGTCAGCATCATCAGTGCCATGTGAAGAGGAGGCTGTTGCACCGCCACTTGTCCTATTTCTCTTCATGGTCTAATCAAAAGCCAGACAGACCGAAAAACTTAGCATTAGAATAATAATAATAATCGTAGCCAGTCTCTAATTACATCTAGAATACGCGTATTCGATATGCCTAAGATTTCTCCCAAGGTTCCTTGTAAATCGTATACCTAAACTCTGATACCAAGTTATGATGCCCCAATTTTTTCAGGGTGATTTAGTATATTTTATGTGATTTATGTGACAAATATACAAAATTCATCAAATGAATTGAAGTTCACGTACTAGTTTAGACTAGACAATCAGAGCATCTAACGTACTTTCAAGTAACTTAGGTACAAAAGATTTGTAATTTGGGCATTCATTTAATATTATAGTCTAAATACCCAAATTATACATTTATCCCAAAAGTAGTCCATAATCGACACTATTACATCCTGTTGGTTTTGAAAACACACCAACGCGACAANTTGTCATGGAGTTCATCCCACTACCCTCACTCTGAGACATAACTCTAGCAATTTCTCGCATGGTCTGCATCAGGTCAGCATCATCAGTGCCATGTGAAGAGGAGGCTGTTGCACCGCCACTTGTCCTATTTCTCTTCATGGTCTAATCAAAAGCCAGACAGACCGAAAAACTTAGCATTAGAATAATAATAATAATCGTAGCCAGTCTCTAATTACATCTAGAATACGCGTATTCGATATGCCTAAGATTTCTCCCAAGGTTCCTTGTAAATCGTATACCTAAACTCTGATACCAAGCTATGATGCCCCAATTTTTTCAGGGTGATTTAGTATATTTTATGTGATTTATGTGACAAATATACAAAATTCATCAAATGAATTGAAGTTCACGTACTAGTTTAGACTAGACAATCAGAGCATCTAACGTACTTTCAAGTAACTTAGGTACAAAAGATTTGTAATTTGGGCATTCATTTAATATTATAGTCTAAATACCCAAATTATACATTTATCCCAAAAGTAGTCCATAATCGACACTATTACATCCTGTTGGTTTTGAAAACACACCAACGCGACAAAACACAAGTCATAATTCTAGAATTTACTCGAGCGTTAACATGAAATATAATATTTCGTAAGCCAGCTGAGTACATATATTTAAGATAGCTCTGGGAAGAAACCCCCGTCATCTCTTAGCCTAGTCCCTACAAAAATGTTAGGGTGAGCCACGCTCAGCAAGAAAAACAACTATTAAGTTTTAATCTCATCCCTTAAAATATCTGTCAATACCTATAAGTTCACATTAGATAAGTTTTTTATTGTAACAACCTGCTTAAAACATCNCTATCATCATCATTTTTTTTTGTTTGTTTGTAATTCTTTTAATTTTGTTTAATTAATTTAACTTAAGCTAATTTGTCCTCAGTACAAAATATAGTCAATATTATACTAGTTGGACTCGTTTTCATGAGAGAAATTCAATGATGAAGTCTATTTCTTCATCTNAAGATTTGTAATTTGGGCATTCATTTAATATTATAGTCTAAATACCCAAATTATACGTTTATCCCAAAAGTAGTCCATAATCGACACTATTACATCCTGTTGGTTTTGAAAACACACCAACGCGACAAACACAAGTCATAATTCTAGAATTTACTCGAGCGTTAACATGAAATATAATATTTCGTAAGCCAGCTGAGTACATATATTTAAGATAGCTCTGGGAAGAAACCCCCGTCATCTCTTAGCCTAGTCCCTACAAAAATGTTAGGGTGAGCCACGCTCAGCAAGAAAAACAACTATTAAGTTTTAATCTCATCCCTTAAAATATCTGTCAATACCTATAAGTTCACATTAGATAAGTTTTTTATTGTAACAACCTGCTTAAAACATCGCATAAGGCATTATATAAACACGAACCTACAAATGATGGAAAACTTCAATTAAGCATGTAATCAATCTTACCCATTCATGTCATGGGTCGCCCTAAACTTTCACTCTTAGTCTTTATCCATTTAACTCAATACACCGTTTGTTATACACAAACATTTTTGGAATTCTGGGTCCCTTTGAGGGCTCTAACCTCGGGTGTACCCCACCTCGTTCTTAGATGCTTTCAATCAGGGCATGAGTGACCCCGCACCTCGACGAATGCTACGATTGATCAAGACTTGTTTCGAGTCTTTCAACCAAGGGAGGAGCGATCCCTGCTTGCTTGTCCCAATTTCATTTCAAGAATTATCATTTTATGTGTCTCAAAGTCGATTGGGCACACTAACCAGAATAATCACAAATGATGTATTTACCATCATGATAATAACCAAAATGCAAATAATATAGTCATGAATATGCATTTCATAAGTAATCCCACTTTTATTTGAACGATAAATATAAATACTTAATTTTTTTTATTACCATGAGGTGTAGTTTACAACTCCAAGAAAATACCATTTTAAAGGCCACTCATGATTTGGTGGTCTTTCCACATGGTTATAATCTTTTGGATTCATTCATGAATCTTCAGGAACTTCAGTGCAATTAGAGGTCACTTTGTAATATTCAAAAGTGTTTTATACTTATTGGAGTCAATGTATAGTTTCAGAAACATTTCCTAACTATTAGAAATACTCATTTGTTGGATTAGTAGTATTTTATGATCTTCTGGGGTCATTCTGTAATTTTCAATAGGTAAGTATCTATTACTCATGAAACACATAGGGAACTTTCTGTAACTTAACAAAACCTTGAACTTAACTTTGTAATTTCTTCAAGGAGGTATATGATGTATCTACAACTAAGGGAGGAAGTTTCTGAATTTAAGCCAACATTACATTCATCTTCTCCGATGTCCAGAACCTACATCAGTAAAGCTTCTTCTCCCATTTTTCTTTTTTTGCCATAAATTGTTTCTTTTATTCATTTCCTTTAAATCTAAAACTCCTCATTCATAACCACGGACCTAAATTACTTTTCAACAAATTTTCACCTCATTCCTTAATGAAATTTGAAGACCCATTTGATCAATTTCATTCATATGCACGTATACATATATACCGATATATATATATACACATAGCTCATCCACATATATTATTCATTGACATGAACACATATACTAGATCAACAACTTACAAAGCAAAAAGAAAAATTAAAACAGTAGAGAGATAAGGAAGAAAACAAAGGAGTTGTAATTCCTACCTTTGTCTAGAGCTACTAGTTGTAGGTTTAAAGTTTGAATCCTCGAGCCTCTCCTCTTCCAACAATGGGGTTTCTCTCTCTATCTTTCTCTTTGCTTTCTTTTCAATACCAAGGTTGGCAGACTGTTTTTCTCTCCCTTCTTTCATTTATTTTGCCTGTATTTATATACTAAAAGGAATGGGCTTCAGTCAAAGGGTCATGGGCGGTAATGTGATGTTCCTTATCTTCCTATGGGCAACAATGGCAGGAAAATGATGTTTCCTTGCCTTCCTACCATGATTAATGTCAGGTAAATAGTCATGGCACATTGCCATGACTGACTGTCATGACTGATAATGCTATCATCATCATTTTTTTTTTTTGTTTGTAATTCTTTTAATTTTGTTTAATTAATTTAACTTAAGCTAATTTGTCCTCAATACAAAATATAGTCAATATTATACTAGTTGGACTCGTTTTCATGAGAGAAATTCAATGATGAAGTCTATTTCTTCATATGAGTTTTCTATTAAAAATCAAAATTTTGATAACTCAATAGATATAATTATGAATAACGGATTTTCATATGTGCACTCTACAAATGCAGACTATCTTAATGATGTATGAGACTGTCTTAAATAACTAAGAATGTATTAGATGAATTGGATGTAATATGATTATATGAGTGAGTTATTTATTACGAGAATGGTGACTAATCCGGACAGTCACCATCTAAACGGATGCAACCCAGCAGTCACATGCATCTGAACGGATACCAAAATTGTAAAACCCGGATAAATTTAAACCTTTTATAAAAAATGACAAAATGATAATTTGTCACTACAGTACGGATTACAAACCTGAAATTTTTTAGAACTCGAATGACGAAACGGACCTCACCATNCTTAAGCTAATTTGTCCTCAGTACAAAATATAGTCAATATTATACTAGTTGGACTCGTTTTCATGAGAGAAATTCAATGATGAAGTCTATTTCTTCATCTGAGTTTTCTATTAAAAATCAAAATTTTGATAACTCAATAGATATAATTATGAATAACGGATTTTCATATGTGCACTCTACAAATGCAGACTATCTTAATGATGTATGAGACTGTCTTAAATAACTAAGAATGTATTAGATGAATTGGATGTAATATGATTATGTGAGTGAGTTATTTATTACGAGAATGGTGACTAATCCGGACAGTCACCATCTAAACGGATGCAACCTAGCAGTCACATGCATCTGAACGGATACCAAAATTGTAAAACCCGGATAAATTTAAACCTTTTATAAAAAAGGGCAAAATGGTAATTTGTCACTACAGTACGGATTACAAACCTGAAATTTTTTAGAACTCGAATGACGAAACGGACCTCACCGTNTCGGGTGTACCCCACCTCGTTCTTAGATGCTTTCAATCAGGGCATGAGTGACCCCGCACCTCGACGAATGCTACGATTGATCAAGACTTGTTTCGAGTCTTTCAACNCATTTTTGGAATTCTGGGTCCCTTTGAGGGCTCTAACCTCGGGTGTACCCCACCTCGTTCTTAGATGCTTTCAATCAGGGCATGAGTGACCCCGTACCTCGACGAATGCTACGATTGACCAAGACTTGTTTCGAGTCTTTCACCCAAGGGAGGAGCGATCCCTGCTTGCTTGTCCCAATTTCATTTCAAGAATTATCATTTTATGTGTCTCAAAGTCGATTGGGCACACTAACCAGAATAATCACAAATGATGTATTTACCATCATGATAATAACCAAAATGCAAATAATATAGTCATGAATATGCATTTCATAAGTAATCCCACTTTTATTTGAACGATAAATATAAATACTTAATTTTTTTTTATTACCATGAGGTGTAGTTTACAACTCCAAGAAAATACCATTTTAAAGGCCACTCATGATTTGGTGGTCTTTCCACATGGTTANAAAACCTAAGTTCTCTACACCTTCTTTCTAAGATCCACAAGGATTGGTTGCTCAAACCAACTCGAGCCAAGAGGAAAAGTTATTCCTCTCGTTGAGGGCTACGCGGCTATACCAAGAAGCGAGAGTCTTACTGAAGATCAAAGAACAAGATTTTTGGAAAACTAGGGCTTTGAGCTACAAGTGGGTCCTTGGAGCTTCTCAAGGCTATTCTTTACGCTTCGAGAGATAGGATTCCTTCCTACTTATATTTATTTACAACCTAAGGTGGTTATATGAAATGGGTATGTTGATAGGAACTTATATCATTTACCTATGTTGGTGAAATCGATGAAATGAGTATGAAAATGGGTATATAATGGTCTAAAATAAATTCCTAACATGGAATCGATATGTGGTAATTACTTGTGTAACATGAAAATTGGTGTTAAGTGGGCATGCTATGTATTTTTATTATGCCTTGCAAATAGAGTGTGTTATTGGCATATAATATGTAATAACATGCTTGTGATGTGTGG